GTTGCCTTGAAGTCCAGAGAAACGGAACCTGCTCGGATTGAACGGTTTCGCGTAAACTTGCGCCGCAGTCTCTCGACGCGACCAAGAGAACAAATTTCGAAGTAATCCGATTTTCTATTCATTCTTATCTACGTATCGAGACAAGAAAAACGCGTCATTTGTTACGCACGGTCTCCGCGACCGAATCGAGCTGAATAATTGAATAAACGCAATCGAATGAAAGCTAATTCGAAGAATGGCGATGGTAGTCTCAATTTAAACCATGACTCGTCTGAGCAAGGGACTTTGCTTCGAATGAAGACCGACGACCGATTCCCGAAATCACATTAAATTACTTTGCCCAAAGAAATCATCAGGATCTCGCACAGCAAAATTTACCGGACTGATTTCGGGGAGAGAGACCACGATGGATTTTTCTGAGTCTTCGGTAGCAAGCACGAGCGAGTGCAGAGCGAGCCACGAAGTGATCGTGATTTTTCTTCTGTTATTTGTCGACTCGCAGTGAGAGCTGCAATAGGATCGGGAAAAAGCGTAGGATCGGACGTGAAGGGTGAGGAACGTGCAGCGAAGGGAGAAAGTTGGGCTTTTTGTTTGTGGAGACGAAAAGTATGACTGGTTCGCCGAAGCGAAGCTAAAGCGAATGGTTGGCGAGCAAGGTATGAGATATATGAAAGCCGGAGGTTGTTCGTGACAGGTTCAGGTTTTCTGGTGTTTATATTTATTATTGATTATTTAACGTTATAGTAACGTCTCTTCGGGATTCCACATGGCAAAGAACACGTTTTTCTGGGTTTCAATCCTGGCGCGGGTTGTGAGACAGCGCCCATCTTCTGCAAAGGGAGATTTTCACCCCGACAAGTGCACGAGGGGATTAGATAAGGAGACCCAGTTCCGATTGGTTCGTGGCTCTGTGGAAGGGAATAAAGATGGGCGGACGATTTTTGGAACGGCTGTAAAAACAAATGGGATGAGGTAAAAAAATATCAAATTATTGTTAGGGTCAAGGAGAATCCCTTTCGTTTTGCCCGGGGATATTTCCCGTTAAATAGTCGACAACTGACCTTTCATAGCATCTCTCCCGTAAGAGATGAAAAAGCTCGTGTTGCTTCCCGAAGTTATCTACGAGCAAATCGTGGCCGATGATAACGCCAGCGAAGCACAAAGGAGAATGCGTAGAGAGAAACTTCGCTGTCGCCGCTCTATTGACATTAGCTCCCATGCTATGGTGTCCCCGACCGTTATTGTAAGCGGACTCTGGACCGTTCAATGTATTTTTTAGGCAAATCTCAACCAGATTTAAAATGGGGAGAGGATGGGTGTGTCACGATGCCAATAGCCTCCAAAATTCCTCTCTTTTTTTTTTTTTTACAACATATCCTTGAATAAACCCCCTACCCCTCAATTTCTGACGTTTCTGAACTTTTGGTTTGAGAAAAATTGCCTCAAAATACTAATTTATGCTGTCAAAAAAGTTGAACGAGCGCGTTATGAGGTCTGCCAAGAGGAGAAAGCACGGGCAAGCAGTATCCTCGACCAGGACGACGGAACGCGAAGAATCAAGAGTGTATTGGCATAATTATCGAGTCAGTTTGCACGAGCACTTTTACGATGTGCAATAGTTCTCATGTGGTTTGTTCGAGAGTGATTAAAAAAAGACAACTGCGTCCACTTGGGGTCACGTTTCCGTTTCGTCTGTGCCAAGAGACGGACGCATCAATTCGCAAGGACGAACGGGATTTTTTTTTATTTGGCACTCTCATAGGTACTATGGGGAAATGCCCAGATATTGCTTTCAGTCTGTCACTTTTTTTTCCCTTTTCTTTTTCATTCCGTCTGTCCGCAGTAACCATAGCGACCGGACAACACAGCCCAATACGCACGCGCAGCTTTCCGCCTGGGTCGGGGTGCCCGTCTTCCACGAAAACATTCATTTCCCTTCCAGCCCTGGCGGTTGACGTATCCATAGTAGACAACGAAGGAGAGCGGCTACTCCCGGTGGCGCAGACAGGGTTGCTAGGCCTACGCGTGAAATGCCGCATCTGGCATCCAGTACTTCATACTGTCCTCCCATCTCCACGCGACACGGACGCGCGGATCATCGAGAACATGTCTAGTTGTCCGGGCCTTTTCATATAAACCTAGGCCAAACCAATGACAGCTATTATTTATTTCAAGGTTGGATGGTTAGGATGCGGTGAATATATATGTTAACTCCAGTGGTACAGCCCTGCTGAAAAAACCTCACTACAAACTCATGAAGTCTCATGCGACCTCACGACTTTCTCATGAGATTGTCCGAATATCTCATGAGGAAATCCTCTTGAGTAATCCTCATGAGGTAATTCACGAAGTTTTCTCTAGAGTGCACAACCGACGCGAGATGGCGACTACATTGCTGCTCTGATGAGTATCCCCCTGATCTCACTGGAGCATCTCTCCCGCACTCTCCAAGTTGTATGCATTTCCATTTCTACGTAGAACATAATGGAAGATAGTCGATTATTTAAAACCCTTGTCCAAAGAGATAGCCCAGTTCAGGGAGACTCCAGAGAATTCTGGCCCACAGGAAGGAGTGGAGTATTCAGGATGGAATAAATAACAGTTGTGTAGAATCGAAAGCTTTCGGTGTTTTTTTTTTTTAGGCTTGCTTGTGAGATTCTCATGAGGTTTTTTTCAGCAGGACTTCTCCTCTAGTCGAGCTAGAAAAATGCTTTATAGCTCTTTTTAAAGGTCTGTTCCTGCCCTTTCAGACAATATCATACTCGTCTGTGCTATCTCAACACGTAACACGTAGTCTTAAAATAACTGCACTGAATTTTGACCTCATTCAGCAAAAATACATCCCCTGGAACTTCCCAGAAATTTAGCCAACACATTCGGGACCCGCCAGACCCTAGGCAACACCTCGTCCAACGTCGAAGTCGAAACTCGCCAAGCGCTCGCGAATTCGCTCGACGGAGACGAGAAGCACTCGATCGAATTTGCTACATGATACGGTTTTTCGCGCGCACTGGATGAGCTCACCAAAGACTGCCGAGTCGATGGGATCCCCTCGTCGTTTCTTATCTTATCGAAGCGAATGAAGAGTCGATCGGGCGTGGGCTCCGAAGCCCGTTTGGATTATTCAGTCGCCTGTGATTTTCCTCTTCTTCTCCCCTTTCCTCCGTCGAAACGGTGAGTCGAGGCTGCGTTCGTCGCGTTATTCAGAGGGTGGCGAAAGATGGTGGCGAATGCTGGTTGCGAATGCTGGTGGCGAATGCTGGTTGCGAATGCTGGTGGCGAATGCTGGTGGCGAATGGGCTGCTTTTTGCTTTGATTTTTTTTTATGGTGACGGGTTAGTCTTAGATGGTCAACTGGGTCGCGAAGGTGTCGAAGAGGGAATTTCGAAGCGCCTGTCTTTCATCGGTAGGAAGAATGCACGGCCGCAAAGGGAATCGAGCGGCCTTGACGAAATTCGGTACAAAAGCTCGCACTAGCACAATGCATAAAAATGTATTGCGTTTCGAGCGAGTGGAGAGAAATTTCGACAAAACTTACTTTAAAAAAAAATCAAAATTCAATAGCGGTGATTTGGTCCTACTAATCGCCCGAAATGATCGCCTCGAAGACTTTTCCCGGAAAAACAAGGCGGAAAAACTCCTAAAGACGTGCAGAAAAATCGAGCGAAGCTTCGAATTCGCGAGATGAGAGAGAGGAAACTTGCGAAACGTCCTAGGAATCGACGCCTTTGAAGGCGCCAGTTCCCTCTCCCCTCCGCCTCAAGCATCCGCACCCATCCACACTTCCTCCAAGAGTCGAAAGGATGCCTTCATGCCTCCCCTCCTCGAGAGTCCTCCCACCGGAGGCGGCACGGCTCGCCGCCCCATCCGCCGAATCCCCGCGGAATTCTGAATTCTGAATTTCGCTTTTTCCGCAACGCCTCAGGCGAATCGCTCCCCCTCGCACCCGAATGAGATTCGGCGGGCACGGTCTTTTAGGGCGCTTTCGAAGATTCGGCAGGACCAGAAGTAAAGTTTTTCGCTCGATAAACTCGACTACCCCTACACTGTTAGCAAAAACGGGTCAGCTTTTATCCCATTAAGGGTGTTATCCTCATCCTTTGTGGGTTATTTGACCCTTTTTGTAAGGTCAAATTTAAAAATCCTTTAAAAATGGTGAAATAATAATCCGACCTGGATTAATAAGTAACCTTCCTCGCACACATGTAATCACATAGGCGAGAGGCTTCCCTCTAACCCGATAGAGTGACCTCGACGTTTCACACGTCGGTCTCAGGGCTTCAGTAAATAAGGAAATGAATTCAGGGAAACTCATCTTCTTTATGGGATTCAGATGTTCCATCAGACTGTGGTCTAGTTGTTCCTGCGAGGGCTCCTGTTTGGGAAGCCACGCTTCTTTTTAACCCTCAAAAAGATGTACCCTGAACCCTTTTGGCCAGCAGTGTAAGAGCGAAAACAGTGGCACGGGACACGCAGGAAGTTTCAAGGCTCCCGTGACATGGGAGCCTTCCCGCGACATGGGAGCTTTCCCGTGACATGGGAGCTTTCCCGTGACATGGGACTCGTGAGTCACGCGAGCACGTTGCGTCCCGCTCTGCGATTGGTTTCGCCAGCTCCCGAGGTCGGTTACGATCCGCTGGCTCCTCGTCCTGGTTGCGAAGCTCGTGAATACCGAAGATGCGAGGAAATTTCAACAAGTTGTGAGAGTGTTTCATCGACGTAGAGTAATTAGGATGCCCCGTATCAGCTTCGTGCATCGCAATGCATCATGCGACGATTGATGAAGCGACCGCGAACGGCGGGCGCCAGTGGTCGCAAGCGTTCGCGAGTTCCGCGCACACGGATGTCCTTCCCTTCGATCTCCAGGTAGTTAATATTCCGTGAATTAAAAATGCTTGGGAAAACCGATGTTAAGGTGGATAAATCCTGGATAAACCGATGTTAAGGTGGATAAATCCTGGATAAACCGATGTTAAGGTGGATAAATCCTGGATAAACCGATGTTAAGGTGGATAAATCCTGGATAAACCGATGTTAAGGTGGACAAACTCTGAGGGTGACTCGAATGCGGTCACATTCTTGATATCGGCCATTGGTATGGCTCAACAACGTGATGGTATAGAATAAAAAAGTTTTTAAAAATTGCATCCCTTAGATGCTGTACAATTTGTATGTGAATGACTCCAAGGCAATTCGATCGATGGATCGACAAACCATCGTGTTCCATAGGACATCCGAGATTCGATGCATTCCCTCTTCCCGATCGATGCCTGTCCTCGAATGCCTCCATTGTTTCTGTTTTTGCAATTTTTGTCCAAGCTGGCATCGCGACGTCTGCAAGGACAAAAAGGACCAAGTCGCACGACCCAACCGGTCCGCTCCCCTCACCCCTGCCCTCCCGGCGCCGCCAGACGGAATCCCGCCAGATGCTCCGCCTCCGACGCTCCGACGGACCCGCCGACCGCCGCGGCCCAGCCGTAAGCCCACTCGTCCTCTTGCATTTTATTTTATTTCCTTCTGACACGCGCTGGAATGGGGAGAATGGCCTACGAATATTTTGTTCGGACTAACTTGTCACTTGCGAGGGGCGTTCAATGAGTTTTATGTGCAAAAGCTCTCTTCCGGAAGCCGTGATTTCAAATATTGAAGCAAAAAATAAAAGGGAAATTTTCACGGTTACCAAGCAACAATTTTCCACAAAAATACACACATATTTATCACATATTTACTCATATCACATATTTATTTGAATGTTGGAGAATAGTATTTTGAGGAGATGTGAAGAGATGTGCGATTTGCATTAATAGCATTTCTTATTAACCTCTTCGTGCTCAATGGCGCCATTTGTCACCGCGAACTTGCAAGAATTTTCCTGCCTCGCCTGTGAAATTACTTTAAATAAATATACCGAAGTCATCCAATCCATAGGATGCTTTGTTCACAACGTGTCCATTGTGCAAGCATCTAAAGGAGATCAGAAATAGGAAATCTTGTCTCGGTTAAATGATTGATGAGTGAGCAATTCCAGTAGTTCCTACTCAAATGATTTTTCTTCGATTTTCCAAGTTAGATTTTTGGCAATTGGCAAAACATTTTCAAAAAGCATTCCATGGATGGATAAGGTGGAATTGCAAGCGGAGCAAATGAAGCCGGGTGATTTTCTTTAATTTCTTTTTAAATTTTCCTATCTATTAAATTTATAGTATTACATGGAATAATTTAATTTTTCCACGCCTAAAGTAATTCAGGCGTGAATGGGCTGAAGAACGAGAACCATAGTCAAAGCCTATCGAACGTCCCTCGTATTTTTCCCTGTGAGCACTGAGAAAAAAATTATTTTGGCTGCTAGGCCGATTATTACGCTACCAGTAGCACCAATTTATTCTTCGAAATCTCTTCCTTACAGCTCACACAGGGGGGGACGATTACCCAGACCTATAAAATGTTGTCCTTTTTTCACCAAATGCAATTATTTTCATATTTAAAAGAGTCATATAATTCCATTAATACTGGTTAATGTATGTACATACAAAATTCATATTGCATGCTCCTGGAGCCTGATTTAGATAAGTCACCTCCAGATTGAATGTCTGACAGTAGTTGGCATCACGACTGAGTGACTGACCCTGATTTTTTGCAGAATTTACTGCCCATTTCGAGCAATTCAACAAGGAACCTGCTGAAAGGCCTGCGGAATCGGCGCCCACGCGTTCTTGACGTCTCGGACTCGGAGTCCGACTCAGAGTCAGAGTCGTCCTCGGAGTCCGAATCAGAGTCGGACGTACGCTCAGAGTCGTCCTCGGAGTCCGACTCAGAGTCGGAGTCACCCTCAGAGTCGTCCTCAGAGTCGCCCTCAGACTCACACTCAGAGTCAGGCTCGGACTCAGAAACCGGTAAGCATCCGGAAAAACCATCCATACTGAAACGACATCCAAAAAAAAACACCTACCCCCTTGCAGAAGAGCCACAGTTGCGCCCTCGCCCTCGTGAAGGGCTCCTCCCCCTCTCCGTCTCCTCTCGAACGAGGGATCGACCTTCCTCTTCCACAAGTATTTCTTCTCCATCACAAACGCTTCGGGTGAGAGCCATTGCCGGTTTTTTTTTTTTTTCACGAAAATCAAGTAGGATGAGGTTCTCAAAGTGCATTTGATATTTTAAATATCTTCTAAGAAGGCATTTAAAATTCCGAGAAACCTGGTCAAAGGACACAATGGGACAAGTCTCCCCATCCGCTCAGTTGGACAAGAAACGAGCATTTGTTCACAGCGAGCAAAGCTGCGAACAGGATGACTTAGCATTAAGCGTCTCAAATGCTGTGGAAAATGGCTTCATATAGGATGTAGAGGCGTGGTTACAACCGTTTGAAACACGGACAACCGCACTAACATCTCGAGGATTCTTTCTAAGACTTCATATTGTTTTGCATCTGTTTCTGACATTGGTGAGAAGAACTCGTCGTGTTCTAAATCCGTAATTCATTTCATTCAAATGTGACGGGACTGCTTCTTCTACATGTTCTGATACTGAAGTCTTCAGTTAAGCGTAGGTACTGGCTAAAAGTACTGCACAAAAGCCAAATACCAGTAATTGTAGAAGATTACCACTGATCACTGATTCCTTGAAGGTGGAAAACTCTGAAACAAACTGAAGGTACGATGAATGTCATGGATCAGTGAAAATCACTTTGTTCTTTTGAGTAACCGAAACAAATAATGTTCGGGTAACTTGGGGTAATTGTAATTGTAACAGCTGAGACTGCCAGACAAAGCAACGACTTGAAAAGTATTTCAGATTGCAATACTCGACCAATCCGTTTTTCTCTTGGAAGCAGTGTTCAACACATGTCATCTTTGCCATTTTAAGAACTTCAGGAAGATTCAGAGGACAGCTTCCAGAAGCTGTGCTCCGAATCGACGCTCAGCCAGTCGTCTTCCTGCCTGCAGAGGCATCGTTAACGCTCGGTCTGTCATCGCAGAGACCCTTAGCAGCGGCATCGACGCCCGGCCGAACGAGCCGTCGGCGTCTCCCCCGCTCGACGCCCGACCCGACCGGAGGACCCCCTCAGTCCCGGAAGACGAAGCCTCCATTGGAATTTCTCTCTGAGACCTCTGAAGGAGCAGGCAAAGGTGAGCAGATGGGAACGTCGTCTCTGACAGAGAATGCCGATTTCGCCTGATGTGGAAGTGCTGATGAGCTCTCGGTTACTTTTACTTTTTTTTTTTACCTTTACCACCTTCTTCATCAAATGTGGCTTTGCAGGTAAAATAGAACGCGAATTTCGGAAGGGAACTTGTTAATTCTCCTAGCAAAGAAATATTATTCCCCAAGAATAGCTCCCGCTTGGTATACTTGGTATACAAAAAATAGAAAACAAAGAAAATCACCACCTTGAGTATTCTCGTGCATGTAATTCCCATGTTTTGCTTTCTTTGTTTTTCGTCCCATTCCTCGATGATACGAAATTCCATGTTCGTGGAAAACCGAAGATGTCTTTCCAAAGACGTGAAATTTTGCAACTCTCATATAGTCCCCAACGGTGCGACACTTACAAAAACATTCGGTAGGTCTGAATATAATATTGTCACTGCGATCTCACCGTTTCGCATTCCGAGAAAGTAAGCGACGTCCGAGTAGAGCATCTTGAGAAAACGGCGACTCCAACCTCCAGGGCTTCAAAAATGACCTTGTCGAAGGCCTGTCATCGTCTCCCTCTCGGCCGTTGGGGAAATCTCGAAGTGGAGTGCGTCAGTGCTGCCAGAAT